CATCCGATAATCGTGCTGATTCGTCAGTCAGTCAAAGAACACTACTTTCTTCTTTCTTCTACAAGCCGAGATGGCTCTCACCTTTCACCTTTCTGCATAACAAACAGATACATAGACATGCACATGTCCCTAAGGTAATAAATAATGGTTTAAATAATAATTGCTAAAAGATATGAATATAAAGAACACATTGTCCCTACTAACAGACTGATGTATTGACCGCTAATCTAAACATGCCTCTTTAAAGGAGAGACCCGTGAAGATCCGGGATGGAATATTGATCTTCAGTAACCCATGCTTGTCATAAGAGGCGACTAACGGGATCGGGTGGTCAGGTCAGACTTGTTGACATATGTCATCGTGTCCCAGTTGTGTAGATCGGTGCTCATGCCGTTTATCACTTGAGTGTCTGGTCCAGACTCGAATATTTACAGACCGCTGCCACATAGCTGGAATATTGCTTGAGTGCGGCGTAAAAATAAACTCACTCACTCACTTTAAAGGGAAATTACTATCCACCCATTAGCCTAGCATTCCTTACAGCCTTAGAGCAAGGCTAACTGATACATGAAACAGTTTGTAATGAACAGCCTTCAGAGCTGCTTGTATAGAGCTGCACTATATCCAGAACTTGTTGAACTGATGCCTCGGGATTCGTCCGCCGAGAGATGCTGGTTATCACAGCCCCAGTACAGCTGGACGTTGTGATCGGATGATAGCACAGAAGCCATGCAAGCTGACGCCACATCTGAAATGAAAATAGTCCATTAGCTCCAAAAATCCTTGTCATTCTATTCGTTGTTCGAAAATACATTTAGAGAGTGATTGCAAGACAGAATTCAAGTGTGATTACGGAAACGCAGAAATTAATCAGATAATTTCTGAAGTTTTATTTCTCCGTTTATGAGAAATAGATCATATATCGGATATATTATGGGTTTTAGGTACAAATGAAGCCAGGCGTTGTTTCCTTTAAGCAAACTGTCTGTGTAGTCGGAGAAAGGCGCCAATAGACACTGTCTGAACCTCACCGGTGTGACTCTATCTCTTAAACACTGCGGGGGAAAACTCATTCTAACATAATGACGAATTCACAGTTGATAACAGTCACGTTGTATTTTGGATTTATGTTTAGAATGTTTAAAGGCATTTAAAAGGTAAATGTTCGCTACAAGCACTAAGTTTAGAGTATTGGATGAATATTGTTATAGACATATAAAAGGTGGATTATTATCGTCAAAGGCATTTAGAGGTTGGATGTGTTCTCCGACCCCGTCATTCATGTTTTGTTTCTCTATTTCATTGTTGCATTCTATATTGCATACATCTGTGAAATACGCAATGTCATTTAGAAATCGGTCATCTGTAACACATGTTATATTTGGGATTAGGTGCCTGACTTTGAGGGTTTGGGTTCAAATCCCTGATGGGACTCAACCCAACAAAAGTGCTACAATTTGTGCTTTACGAAGAAAGTGTAATTCCAAATATAACATATGTTTCATACGGGGAGGTACTGCCAGGCCGACAATCGAGTTTTTATCTATGTTTCAGCCCCCTCCAGCAGGTCGACATGGCGCAACATTTTACCCTTGCCAATTTAAAAAGGATTAGCCAAACAATGGCAGTGGGGGATTAAATCTTGGGGACATGTCAAAAATTTGTTGGGGGAATAGTTATTTACGACTGGCAAGATGATGCGTGTATTTTCAGAATATAATATTGTCTTTACGTCATCACACAAACATGTACAGTTTATACACTTGTTCGTTCATTTATTCATAAATTAATGACTCACATTTTAAAAATTTACCAGCACTTTTCATACATTACATTCATTTTGAACAATTTTCATACATTACATACATTATTCTAAGCACTGTACATATAGTTCATACATTTCCAAAGTAAATTCAATAATGGTGAACATTTTCTTAAACTAAAGCGGTGAACTCAAACTCAAACTTAATGTATTCAGTAAGTGGTGAGCTAAATTCAATGAAATGATGAGACGACCCCATACTGTCAAAACAATGATAATTGGCGTTAATTACTTCAAAGGACACCGGCAAGTCGGCCTGGCGCACCTCTCTGCGTGTCTATTTGGTACACATGTCGGCCTCACAGGACGACCCCGTTTCATACGTCTGCTACGAAAATATGATACTGAATTTAGTTGAATGGGTCTGAGAACCTACCCGTGTATCAAATCATTTGACACAGTTAGTTCAAGTCGAGACAAGGTGCATTTACCCTCTGAAGAAGAATGAGAAGACGCATTGACAGTGTATAAAATCATTACAATAACATCAGACAACTCGCAAAGTAGAGCCTCCTAATACTCTGGAGACACAAAGTTCAAACACATTGTGAATGTTATTGAATTAATGTGTATATACACGTATACTCAAACTTTGATTGAACTAAAGATTAAGTCATATAGGAAATAAAGCAGTGTCACTGTACAGCCACATGTTGGTGACAGTCGTGCTCCTGAAAGCTTACATACATCACTGAATCCATAATTGACAGTTCCGCTTAAGACAATGTGCCTCTGAGGACATAAAAACCATCACATTTATATTTCAATTTGTACGCCTGGCATTTTTCCAAATGTACATTGTTAAAGCAGTAACTGTACAGGGAATCTCAGCAAATGGTTTCTCGAGGCCATAGATCAGAATTTGCACTTCTTCCTAAACCTGTTTCCCACACCCCTGTATTCCATTCGATTTCCCGGGCATGTTTTATTTATGTATTTTATACAACGCTGCAGCACGGGGAATACCGTTTGTTCTTGAGGTTGTACCATTGTTGTTTCCAGTGATTGCTGGTTGGGCGATGCCTTTCTATACTTTCACAATTAAATGGAATTTTCACACTTCCCGACTTGCTGGCACTTATTGTATGATGGCTCGTGTGGTCAGTCTAAGCGACGTGGTTGATGGCGTGGAGTCGCATCCTGTCCGCGGGATCGTTGACTCACCCAGCTCTCCTACTAATCCTACATCTCACCCTACATCCCCTCCTCACACTACATCTCACCCTACATCTCGCCCAGTATCTCACCCTACATCTCACCCTACATCCCCTCCTGACCCTTCATCTCACCCTATCACTCCTCCTCATTCTACAACTCACCCTACATCTCGCCCAGGGTCTCACCTTACATCTCACCCTATCTCCCCTCCTCACCCTACATCTCACCCTATCTCCCCTCCTCACCTAATATCTCACCCTATCTCCCCTCCTCACCTTATATCTCACCTTACTTCCCCTCCTCACCCTACATCTCGCCCTACATCTCGCCCAGCGTCTCACCCTACATCTCACCCTATCTCCCCTCCTCACCTTATATCTCACCTTATCTCCCCTCCTCACCTTATATATCACCCTATCTCCCCTCCTCACCCTACATCTCACCTTATCTCCCCTCCTTAACCTTATATCTCACCCTATCTCCCCTCCTCACCCTACATCTCACCCTATCTCCCCTCCTCACCCTACATCTCACCCTATCTCCCCTCCTCACCATATATCTCACCTTACTTCCTCTCCTCACCCTACATCTGACCCAGCGTCTCTTCCTAACCGTACCACCCCTCTTCACGTTTAGCATCACTATCTGCCTAACACTAGCCCTACATTGCAGTCCCGTCAGTCCCCGGCCACTTTGACCCTCATGTGTGGCGAGCTGCATTCCCTGGCGATTGCATGCCGTCACGACACTAGCAAAGAATATTTAAAGCTTTACTTCCACCTATTTAATGTTACCAAAGAGAAAAGATCAGAGAGGTACTTGGAGTCCAACATATGGATAGCCCGTTTGGCTCAAAAGCGGACCGATGAATTGCAATCTAACTCAAAAACTAATGAACATATAATACTCAGTGAAACGCTGAGCATAATCAAAACATCAGACCAACTCTGTGAGAGTGAGAGTGCAAAGGGAGGAACAGCCATGTGTGCGAGAAAGTATGGAGACGGCACAGCACAGGTAAATGAATTAATAACTGTGTGGGCACTTGTGCACGTGCTTCACGTTCACATGGCTGTTCCTCTCTTTGCACTCCTCCCTCGTAACAAATAGTGAACTGTGTCAAAATTTTAATTATACTTTGTTAAACAGCTTTTTTTTAATTTTTAGGACATTAATTCTACCAAAAAAATCACAGAGTTGGTCTGATGTTTTGGTTATGATCAGCGTGTCATTGAGTATTATATGTTTATTAGTTTTCGAGTTAGATTGCAATTCATCGGTCCGCTTTTGAGCCAAACGGACTATAGTAGGCAATCTACCCGCGTGGGCATACATCCAGTATCGGCTTACTAATTTTCAGTTGTTAAACTGACGTAATGATAGTGCGTCAGTTGAGAATTCGTTTTCGGATAGCCTGTTTGAAAGAACAGAGACGTGCGCAGTTGATCAGTAAATCTCGCGTTCACGCGTTCTCGCATGGCGACATTTCAGCGTTGGGAACTATTAACTGATTTGAAAGACATCGACCAGTCGTTAACATTGCACTAAATCTTGCATTCTTACAGGTGTAAGTGAAAAGAATATTTTACGCGCGCTTTAAATGCAGTATTTCTGCTGGTAATTCATCAAGACATGGGTTATTTGGTGCTTACATTCTTCAATTCCACACCTTATAATTTGCAGTTGCTGAAAAGCAATAGGATTGGTAGTAGCTGCAGTAGCAGCAGAAATGTTAGCAGTAGTAGGAGTAGTAGTAGTAGTAAAAAATAGAGATTATAAACATTGAGTTGTATCAGTTACAGTACTATAATTGTAGTGTAGTGATGAACGTAATAGTAGCAGTAACAGAAGAGGCAGTGGGGGTAGTGGTGCTGGTAGTGGTAAGGGTTCACCACTGTGTAAAGCGGTATGCTAGTGCTTATAGCAGTAACTACGAGGTGCTTGGAGTTATTTGTTTACAACGGTCACGTGACCCAGGCAGTCACGTGATCTGTGCAGGAAGCAGGAAGTGGTGAGCCGCAACAGGCGGTTACGAGAAGATAATAATGATGTTACTGTGCCTTGCAGCTGTCCTTGTATGTCTGACATCGCCCCCAACTCTCGCGAGAAGTCCGCGGGATGCTGCCAAAGGATGCACAGCACCATACGCACTACCTAATCTCCCCTTTTTTCGTCGTTTGGAATGTCCCTTCTGGAGGGTGCGAAGCGCACGGGATTAACCTAAACTTGACAACTTATCGAATCGTAACGAACAAGAATGATCAATTCATGGGAGAAAATATGGTTATATTTTACGGATTTGGAGACTGGCCTTCCCTTCAGACGCCCTCAAATGGGGGTATCCCACAGGTGAGTTTATCCGATAATTGCCCAGTTTAATGGTGCGTATCGAAATATTTTATGAGCGCTTTGCTGAATTTACTTTGGCGAGCCGTGTCCACTCATTGCTTATTGTTTGACGCCACAGTCAGCGATATTCCAGCAATATGGCGACAATCTGTAAAACATAAGTCTAGACCAAGCAAGCCCGTGATTTATTAAATGAAGAAGTCCAGACTCTTAGGGTACGATAATAAGTATCAAACACGTCACCTCAATAGCAGTTAAAGAAGTTAAATGTACGTTCATCATACATGTATTATAGTATATTATCCTGCCATGACAGTTTTTACCTGTAATAACATTAGAGAAACAGGTGGTTCTTAACTTTACCTTTTAGCATATGTTACGATAATCCATTCGTACCACTAGCTTACATATGTACATGATGGACAAGCATGTTCCCAAAGGAAACCGAGTTTGACACTGTTATTTATTTATTTATTTATTCATTCATTCATTCATTCATTCATTCCATTCATTCATTCATTCATTCATTCATTCATTCATTCATTCATTCATTCATTCGTTCATTTATTTATTTAGTCGGGGTGGTGTGGTGTGTTGGTTGTCACTTTCCACATAACATACGTCAGGCATACATCTTACCCGTGAAGATCCGGGTTAGAATATTGATCTTCAGTAACCCATGCTTGTCGTAAGAGGCGACTAACGGGATCGTGTGGTCAGGCTCGCTGACTTCGTTGACACATGTCATCGGTTCCCAATTGCGCAGATCAATGCTCATGTTGTTGATCACTGGATTGTCTGGTCCAGACTCGATTATTTACAGACCTTCGCCATATAGCTTGAATATTGCTGAGTGCGGCGTAAAACTAAACTCGCTCGCTCAGACATACATCAGTGTTGACTACTGTATCCCTGATCCTCCTAGAACCTGCTGAGTGAATCGGGGAGATAATGCCGCGTTGTAAGCTTCATCACTACGTGACAGTTTTCCGGGAGAAACGTCAAAGGGGGCTAAGGCGGTTGCGACGTTTACGACTTTGGCTTAACCTCCGCGTATGAACATGGTGATGATAAAGTGAAGTTGAGTTCTCTACCCACGACGAGCAGGGTAGGTAAGGGAGGCAACTCTTTACAGCACAGTGTGGTATACAGATGCCATGTCCTGATCATCTCCATGGCTAGCGTTTTGGTAAACCTACGCTGACCCATGCATTGATGCACCTTCCACCAGTTCCTTTCTGCTATTTTGTACCTCCCGTGAAGATCCGGGTTAGAACTGATCTTCAGTAACCCATGCTTGTAAGAAGTGACTAACGGGATCGGGTGGTAAGGCTCATGTCATCGTATCCCAATTGTGTAGATCGTGCTGTTGATCACTGGATTGTCTGGTCCAGACTCGATTATTTATAGACCGACGCTATATAGCTTGAATATTGCTGAGTATGGCGTAAAAATAAACTCACTCACTCAATGCCATTCTAAACCGTATATTTTTCGTTAACGCCGCCAACAAACAGACTGTGAAATGTACATGCATTATTCCTCGGGTCAGACGGAAATAAGAGTCAAGAGCTAAGTCTGCTACCAATTAAAGATGTGCCATGAGTGGTGATTCCGGTTCAGCATGTCACGCGGTACTATACGCAGCTCTAGGGGACGGTGGGTAGCCTAATGGTTAAAGCGTCCACTAGTCATGCTGAAGACCTGGGTTCGACTCCCCACATGGGTACCATGTGTGAAGCCCGTCTGTGGTGTCCACCGCCGTGATATTGCTGGAATACTGCTAAAAGCGGCGTAAAACCATACTCACTCAGTATAGCTCTAGGACTTGGTTCGTCACCCGGTCCAGCGTCTGTAGTATCAACCGCGTGTTTGCCAGAGTGAGTGAGTGAGTATGGTTTTTCGTCGCTTTTAGCAATATTCCAGCAATATCACGGCGGGGACACCAGAAACGGGCTTCACACATTGCACCCATGTGGGGAATCGAACCCGGGTCTTCAGCATGTCGAGCGGACGCTTTAACCATTAGGCTACCCCACCGCCCCGTGTTTGCCAGAACCAAATTCGACGTTTGTCAAACATTGTTGATGTTGCTCTAAAAATTCTGACAGCACCACAAAGCAGACCGAAAGTAAACAAACAATAACAAGATTGTATATTGTTTATTTCAGGAAGGAAACCTACCCGAACACTTCCGGAAGGCGGCAGCTGTGACGAACCAGATCATCCCCGACCCAAACTATTCCGGATTGGCGGTCATCGACTTCGAATCCTGGAGACCACATCTACCGCTGAATTTCGGCAGTTTAGGAATGTATAAGACAAAGTCAGTGGAGCTGGTCAAGAAACAACATCCCACCTGGACAAACACGACACAGATAATGGAGGAAGCAACACGACAGTTCGACATCGCCGCCAGGTAAGTGTCCCATTGTTTATACACAGGAGGGCATCTTAGCTTGGTCAGAGGTTGATGCGTCTTACCGGTATCTTCTTTTCACTGGTTCGAATCCCAATTCAGAATCAGTCAGCTCCATGCTTGTGGGTTTTATAAAACTAGTAAGCAGTTCCGACGTCAGCCTTTCACGCTTAATATTTTTTTAGGTCTCTGAGAGACATCAAGGAGCTGGAAGATCAGGCAGGCTTGAAACTTACTTTTCTGGATATAACTGTCCCTATTGTATGTATTGAAGTTACATGGCAGGATGGACCATTGGGTGCTGACTGAGACAGGTCATGGTGGAGGTTTTGGCAGGTTGGGCCTTGGGGTGTTGAGTGGGTTCGAACCCATGAAGGTCCAGGTTAGAATGAGCCTTTAGTAACCCATGCTTGTCATAAGAGGCGACTAACGGGATCGGGTGGTCAGGCTCGCTGACTTGGTTGACACATGTCATCTGTTCCCAATTGCACAGATCGATGCTCATGCTGTTGATCACTGGATTGTCTGGTTCAGACTCGATTATTTACAGATCGCCGCCATATAACTGAAATATTGCTGTGTGTGGCGTAAAACTAAACTCACTCACTCACTGACTGGGTTAGGTCATGGTGGAGGTTTCGGGTTTCGGTTACTGTGTTCAAGATAGCCACAGAACTCAATGACCACAGCTGCAGTAATTGCAGACTCGATCAGTACGTTAACTATCACGTTGGCACGACTGTTTAGTTTTTTCATAATGTTCACCTAAATACATTTATTGGATGTGCATTACAGGAACTTCCTGCAAGGATCTCTTCAGCTGGGCAAGCAACTCCGTCCGAACGCCCACTGGGGTTACTATGGTTACCCGCGATGCTGGGGGTCGTCAACAACCAATGAGTGCTCAGCCCCTGGGACACAGACTACCAATGATAAATAGTAAGATGCAAAATTACCTTCATTTAAATGGTTTTATTTAGACGACACCTACTCGCAATGCATGTTACCATGTTCCTTGTGTCTCACTTCAATATGGCCTGTTTGTTTTGCTTGGATTTCGAACCCGTCTACCTTTGAAATCTGCTGGCGAAAGTAGAAGTCGTATAATCATTGAAAAATGAAATTCAAATTATTCGGTACCGACTGAAATTCCGAAAATACAAATCTGAGGGAAAAGTTCAGAAGTTGAAAACAGAGCTTATAAGCCGATCAAGTTATTATTCATACCACCAGATCCAGTGACCAACCAAACAAACGCCAAAAACACACACACACATGGTTAATTTATGATGATGTACTTAATCTCAGTTTAATTAGAAGGTATCACTGTTCTTAGTGATGAAGTTATGTGTAAGCTTAATATTTCCGAAGGAGACGAAGCCGTGACTGATGTTATTTACAGATGAAGAAAATAATCTTGCTCTATTTGTAACATGATGTCTGTTCCAAGGAAATGTGAATACACTGCATCTGTTTTTAATCACCATGAGAGATCTACCCACAGTACATACATACCTTTACCTTGCAGCATGGGGTGGCTGTTCTCAACCAACACAGGCCTGTTTCCCAGGATTTACACCAATCGGAACACACCAATGCACAGCCGTTACCTGTACGTCAGACAGACAGTGAACGAGACGCTCCGAGTGCAGGCGAAATGGTCGGGGCTCAACACTCCCATCATGCCGTACACTCTGAGTCAAGACAACGGAACAGACTTCTTCCAGAAGGTCAGTGCCGTGGACGTGTGTTCCCCGGAGAACCTGCCGCGTTCACGGAGTATTACTCATATTTATGGGATCAGGCAGAGTGTGATCACCTGTCAGTCAGATGGTGAGGTGAGGTGAAATTGGGTTTAACGTCGTGCTTGAGAATATTTCGCTCATTTGACGACATGCATGCGTGTGTATGTGTATGTGCGGCTGCTTGTACTAGCCCAGACTTAAGCTGGTTTTATAGTGCTAGCTCACTGAGATACCATGCCGCAGTGAAGCATGAATACCCCACTCAGACACAGTATACTGACTCCGAGCCGACCAGTCCTTGTTGTACCCAATAATGCCGAGCGCCAGGCAGGGACCAACAAGTACCATATTTTAACGTATTTTGGTATGACGCGGTCGGGGATCGAACCCGCGACCTTCCGCTCTCCGGGCGGACGCTCTAACCACTACACCGCGGAGGCGGTCGTCAGTCAGATGACCAGAACCACATGAGTCATTGCTAGCTAAGGGATAATTCCGTCCCGTCAGGATTCTAAGATGGTTCTCAGGAATCTATTCTTGTAATAGGCGTCTAAAACAACAGTTGGTAAGACATTTGACGTTCATATTTCGGCCAAAGTTAAGCAAAGACGCGCTTCTGATTGGTTATTCAGAGGTATCAAAACATAATAACCACCTCTGAATGAGCTGACTCCACGACCGCAATGAAAATAGTCACAGATTATTAGCCTGTCTCTCTGTCATTAATTTTCAAGTGTGCGAGGTTGAAAATGTTTAATATACGAGGTCAGAATCTCCTGGTAACCTAGCGCCACATCGACAGGATATTTATCTACTGATTCACACACTCTCTATTTCTAGGATGACCTCAAGGTCGCCATCGAGGAACCTGCCGCTATGGGGGCTTCTGGCGTCGTCGTCTGGGGTAGTCATAGTTTCTTCAAGACGAAGGATGAATGCCGTATGATGCAGAACGACATCAACAACGTCCTAGGTCCCTTCGTCAAGAACCTCACCGACTTCACACAAGCATGTGCCAACGAGCTGTGCAACAACCACGGCCGTTGTATCAGGAAGGACTTTGAGGCCACCACACAGAACTTCCTCCGTCTGTACCAGAAGGAGGCTTGTGTGAGGCCGAGGGAGGAGTATGAGGACACGAGGGACAAGAGGCGGGGGGTTGTTCGGGGACAGGTACCCCAGACTGAAGAAGTATGAGTATTATGTGTGTAGATGTCTGCCCGGATGGTCAGGTGAATATTGTAACAAGTCATAGGGTGGTTGTAATTCGAGATAGGTACGCACAACACTTGGGGGGCTGTGAAATGCACTGTGCCAGCTTGGTCTGCTGGAAACATTGTGGTCAACATTGTAATTACTGCAGATGTTTGTATTGCTCCTAATGTGATATTCTAATACTCTTGGCCTGTACAGTTGAGGGACATGTGTCTTTTGCATATTTCCTTCTTCCTATTTTTTTTCTGTCATTTCATTAATGTACAATTCCGTGACACACAATGCATATCTGTGGAAGCCATGATCTTAGTGAAAGATTTTGAAAGCAGCGTTCAACCTCTTATCTGTGTGTAACGCATGAAATGCAAAATGGTTTTAAACTCCACCATTTTTAGATGGAGAATTCCAGTATTCTGAAAACACCACATCTGTTCAGGGTATGTGTTCAATATTTCACAAGGAAAATATGCTCTTATTAAAAGAGACTCCGTGCAAAAGGTTGATGCTCAAAGCGCCAACATTATTACTGCGATAGATGGTGATATTGTCACACCAACACAGACACGTGCTGAAGTACAGTGTGCAGTAACATTCCATTATCAGAGTTTTGAAATTGTAAATGGCAATAGGTTTTCGACTGTTTGAAACTGGATCCATTTGTGATTGATCTGACACTTATTACGAACATCTGTGATATACATTCCCATCACATTATCAGCGTAACATTCACGGAATCGAGCGGCGGTAGCTGACAGACTCAACTCGGTCGCCCCTCATACAGACGTGTCCAGGCGTCAGTGTAGTTATCAAATGAGTGCGCTTGTTGTAACATTGTTACCAAACAGATATAGTTTGGATAGTGTACACGTAGGAGTTGTACGCTTCACATTGTATTCACATCTTTTAACACAGGCATATTTTTAGATTGATTTTTGCATATACTTATTGCACAACATGTGAATATGATTTTACATGAAATATCAAAACCATAATATTGTTTATCTGTTTTATAATACTAAAGTTATTTCATTGATCACGCCTTGTGTGGCTGACATACGGATCTCTTTCCATATTCCCTGCTGGGTGCTTTGGGTGCAATTTATGTATGTAAAATCGCTTTATACAATGCATTTACTTAATACAATACAGGGGCGGTGGGGTAGCCCTGTGGTTAAAGCGTTGGCTCGTCACGCTGAAGACCCGGGTTCGAATCCCAACATGGGTACAATGTGTGGAGCCCATTTCTGGTGTCCCCCGCCGTGATGTTGCTGGAATATTGCTTAAAGCGGCGTAAAACCAAATCATTTACATAATACAATACATATCATTGAACGCCTTGATCCAAGAGGGTTTTCTGGTGTAGTTTCAGTTTTCACTCTGTTAAATAAAGATGACAATCATGTACTGATGCCAGTATATTCAGGACGAGTGTTTTGTACATGAACATTAAGTCACTTGCGATAATGATATGTATTACATTATAGGAATCGGAATGTTATTTCTCTTTTCGATCAGCCTTTATACACGCGGATAGATCGATATGAACATGTATACGTTCTCACCACAATAAAACTATTTTCTTATCTGCCCTTATCTGTTGCTGCATGAGCACGACTGTATATGCTTGTAGTGGGTGGGTTTACCGGTAGACGTCGCCTCCGTTCTACAGGATATACCAAAGCAATTTCACCAGCGATCGACAATACACGCACAAAAGAAATGTTTACCCTTTAAACCTGAAAAAAACACATTTTGAACCATATGTCGAATGAAAAGGCATTTGGAACAGTTACCGCGATAGTGTATTTCTTTATTTTGTCATTGCAAGTGTCTTGTACTACCGACGGTGGGTTGTATAAGAAATATATATATATGTACATCTGGAATATGGAAACTTGTACTCGATACACAAATACTTTAGGGAATGTACCGCATACTTACTGTAACGTGTGTACTGATTCATAGAACATTCATTTTATTATTGTAAAAGTGAACATTACAAGTGAATTATTGACATTAACATTAAGACTCGCATTAGAACATGTACTAGGTTTGAGGCGCACTAATTCAAGCCCGGATTCCATAGCCATTATTAGAAGGATGATCAATAAAGAAAGGTTATGTGCTCAAATACAGACTGTAATATCTGAGCGTTCTGACATGACCGCTTGCCTGGAGATACTCGGACATTACCCTCTACCTCATGTAACTCTCCATTCTTTAAAAATAATGGAGCCGAGGCCCCGGAGGGGCCGAGGCACATTATTTTTAAGTAATGGAGAGTTACGAGGATATTACCCTACTTAAAGTACATTCAAAGTATTGGGAATATTTCTGTTATCAAAATTAAATGTCAAAATGACAAAATGAAGTCTTAAATTTGAAACTGGTACACATCGCTCCATTCCAATACATTGACAAACCTTGTGTTTAATGGACGAAATATCTGTCATGCTCGGCAGTAATGGGGACTGGTATCACCGTGTCACAATGTTTCCGTGTTTTCAGGTAACTAAACTGCTTGATTTTGTATGCGTTTCTTGATTAATCTGCAAACAGTTGAATGTGACTGTATATATATACTGACTGACTGAGTTTGGTTTACGCCGCTTTTAGCAATATTCCAGCAACATCACGGCGGGGTACACCAGAAATGGGCTTCACACATTGTACCCATGTTGGGATTCGAACCCGGGTCTTCGGCGTGACGAGCCAACGCTTTAACCACTAGGCTACCCGTCCGCCCCTTACTGTATATATATATATATATATATATATATATATATAAGTTGAGCTATACGAATCATAGGCAGGAACAAGTTAACAACACATTTCTTCCATATTGCTGAAGCTGAGTATGTCACAAAATTCGTTACCGACATTGAGAGTGAGTGGGTATGGTTTTACGCCGCTTTAGCAATATTTCACCAATATCACAGCAGGGGACACCAGAAATGGACTTCACAGATTTAAACTGTTGTAGGGAATCGGACGAAGATCACTTCAACCACTCGACTACTCCATCTACTCATACTAGCATGGCACGTGTTTATAGGTGATGGCGATTATTGACCATATATCAGCTTACATTTATGGAAAGAACATAACAATACTTTCAGTTTTGATACCATCAGAAAAGTCATTGTACAGATTGATATTAATCTAATGACTTACGTCTAAACGAAATGCGTCCCAGAGAAGTGAAACCACATTTATTTCCTACACTTAAGTGCCGTCACAAATTAATTGGTCAGTTACATCCTCAGTTCACAAGGTACGGTTACACTGCTTGACAATGCCGGCATATTGTAGCAGTGCGCATTATAGCAGTCTTTAAAGCAGCGTGCTCTCAGACTCTAAACAGTGAGTTTAGTTTTAGGCCGCTTTTAGTAATATTCCAGCAATATTACGGCGGGTGACATCAGAAATGGGCTTCACACATTGTACCCATGTGTGGAATCGAACCCAGGTCTTCGGCGTGACGAGCGAATATTTTAACCACTGGACTACCCCACCACCAAGAAACTTCAGGATGATGCTTATCATGTATATGATGGATGCACGAACATGTGATCAGACTGCCCATTTCTCATTCAATAAGCAAGAGATGTGGTCAAATCAGGAAGATAACTGAGGTCACAAGCACCCACCAGGATCACCGGATCGTCATTACCCCCTCGACAGAGCAGGTCCCAAGGTAACTAAGGGTCAGCTGTTACAGCCAAGAAGATAGCTGGGACTCATATCTAAACACCAATACATGTCTTCCTGTACTGGTCACTTTACATTAAAGAGAAATCAGGACAGTATGCCAACGTTAAGGACTATTACAAGTCGACATCTACGCTTAAGCCTACCACTAATAATTTGGCTTGAGGGACTTCCCAAACAAGTTTAGTGGTTCAAAAGGCACAAATACAATTATTGATAGAGGAATAATTTTACAGACTTGTTGGAAAGAAACTAAATGGTATTACCAGTCTAACCCTGTTAGGACGAGGTTAACGTTTCTGAAGAGATGCTGTTGCTACGTTTGCGATGATACTTATCTGGAATTCGACCATAAGATCGACGGTCATGGTGTAGTGTGTACAGGGACTTGCGACGCAACCTAGTGACAAGTTGACCAAACGATGAAGATTATCATTAAACTTTATTAAAAACAAAAATTACAAATACTCCGCAAATGTGTACTCTGCCCTGTGTTCGTATAAGCTGTTGGTCAAGTTTGTGTTAACAATGGTATACAACCGTCATATTGCCTCAACTGTATGGAAATACTCAAGGTATTTACGTGCTTATCGCATACTTTCGGCGTCCAGCAGCATTGAATCACGTCAGTCTAGAACCCTGCGACCATGTTAGCGACCGAACCCAAATACCCGATCTACCGCGCTAGGATGTCGCTTCTACATAAAGTATATTTTTAGTGAATGGGTGAATGTGGCTGTTGCAATTTGCAACAATGTGATATTTGTTCAGAGATCTGCTGAACGTCTCCATTGAAGGTGGCTTTGGATACTGTGCAATCCTTTCAAGACTCCTACTTTGAATTTCGAAGCTTGGTTTGAATACATCCAGAACAGCATGGCTCAACTGTATATATATATATATATATATATATTCATTCTCCTCATAGAGACCGAAAGAAAGGATAATTGGGACGAAGTGGGATTCGAACCCATGATGACAGGTTCTGGTGTAACCAAAGAACTTGACTCTGTATTGGAAATGAACCGGGGCCTACCATCGATTTTCTGACCCGCAGTGGGGGCCTATGGAGCTACAGACCCATCTGACTGTGTTATGCAACAACGTCCTAGCTGGACGTGAGTAGCACGCATTCCCACACAATGGAAATCAATTTCGTGTTTCAAATCATACTGACTAAATGACTGAGATTGGTTTTACGCCGCTTTTAGCAATATTCAAGCAACATCACGGCGGGGACACCAGAAATGGGCTTCACACATTGTACCCACTTGGGGGGGCCTTCGGCGTGACGAGCCAACGCTTTAACCACTAGGCTACCCCACCGCAAGTTTCAAATCATAGCACACACAATGTATCACCAATAATCTTAAAACTACTTGATCATTCATTCATGCATGCATTCACGAGCGAGCGAGCGAGCTGGTTGGTGAGTAGGTGAGTGAGTGAGGTTTTACTCCGCTTTTAGCAATATTGCAATACCAGGGCGGGGAACACCAGATATGGGCCTCGCACATTGTATCCAAGTAGGGAATCGATCTCGGGGTTTCGGAGTCACGAGCGAACGCTTTAACCATTAGGCTACCCCATCCTGCCGAATGTTTTGAAGATAGTCCTATGTTGCAAAGTCTACGCATTGCTGAAACATAACTGAATCAGTGTTGGGTGTGAGATGAGCTATGCTTTTCATCAGCTTCATTACTGCTGGTCATGTTAATATGCGTAAATATACACCTTTTAAGATCAACAGGTAGATCAGTGCACAAACGTTAAGATCCGGGCAAGAATTGGTCTTCAGTAACCCATGCTTGTTGTAAGAGGCGATTAACGGGATCGGGTGGTCAGGTCAGGCCTGCTGTCCTGGTTGACACATGTTGTCTCCCAGATGCGTAGGTCGATGCTCATGCTCTTGATCACTGGATAGTCTGGTCGAGACTCGAGTATTTACAGACTGCCGCCATATAGCTGGAATATTGCTGAGTGCGGCGTAAAACTAAACTCACTCACTCACTCACATATTCATCATCTGCACAATTAACGTAAATTTTTTATACCTTCGCAACCCCTCGCACCTAGGTATAAATATAGATCATTGAGAAATTATGAAAAAGTAACGGTGATAAGTTTTCCCCTTGTCGAACCCCAGAATAACTCAAAATAAATTAGAATTTTGGTTATTATCTATAACACATGATTTGATGTTATTGTAAATATGTTTAACTATATTCCAAAAATTTCCAGGGGCGTAGCTACCGTTATAATAAAAGCCCGGGCTTACACAAGATTGTTGCTAAAAAGGTGGGGCTAGCCCTCAATACCGTCAAAATATAAAGCTTTGCTACCTATTGGGCTTACACGAAAAAAATGGACTTGCTACGCGCCTGATTTCCATCTATATTAAACGTTAACATTTTTTTCCAAAGACCTATTCTCCAAACGTTATCAAAAGCTTAAGTAAAATCATTAAAGGCAAAGCATAATCTTCTTTTCGATGTCTTGAAAATTTGAGTTAATATATGTAATGTGAAAATGTTATCTGAATTGAATTACTTGGCCATTTCCTACACCGTGGTGTTACGTAGACATCATGAAGCCGTATATGAACGTGGATATACATTTACTGTGCAACAAACACATTATATAGCACTCCTCAAGTCAGTGACAATAAATAACTTCACCACTTGTCAGACACTGTGGAGAGCTTCGCGTTCGTGTTTTACAACGGTCACGTGACTCAGGCAGTCACATGATCTGTGCAGGAAGCAGGAAGTTGTGAGCCGCAACAGGCGCTAACGAGAAAATCATAATGATGTTACTCTGCCTTGTAGCTGTCCTTGTATGTCTGACATCGCCCCCAACTCTCGCGAGAAATCCGCGGGATGCTGCCAAAGGATGCACAGCACCATACGCACTACCTAATCTCCCCTTTTTCGTCGTTTGGAATGTCCCTTCTGGAGGGTGCGAAGCACACGGGATTAACCTCAACTTGACAACTTATCGAATCGTAACGAACAAGAATGATCAATTCATGGGAGAAAATATGGTTATATTTTACGGATTTGGAGATTGGCCACAGTACAGGGGTAACACACCCTCAAATGGAGGCATCCCACAAGTGAGTATAACTTAAATAGGCCTGCTTAATGGGCATCTCGAGAGATTTTATGAGAGCTTATCCGAGTTCCTCGTTCACATCTGCATGACGTGTGTATTGTTCCACGACGTATGTTTGACGGAGGAACGCAGTGAATGAATATTGTTTTATGCCGCGTTTAGCAATATTCCATCAATGTGAAGGCTGGGAGCAGAAGAAATGGTACGTGCGTGGGGAATCGATCCCGGATCTCCGGCTCAACAGGCGAACCAGATTGTTTTCTAAGTTTAGTCTCCTTGGTTACAGCTATGAGTAACCTGTTGTTCCACGCTGTACTTGTGACGGGAGCCTGTGGTAAGTGGGTAAGGTTTTACGCCACTTTTGGCAATAGTCAAGCATTGTGGGGAACTACAAACAGACATGTAATTTGTGGAGAATCGAACCCGTGACAGGCAAATGCTTTAACAGCAAGGCTACTAACCCTCCGGCGGCCTGTAAATTATGGAATCACTACGCAAACCAGTGATTGATAGAATGAACAATTTGGGAGCACCGTTCCATGCCGTCATTGTACGATACCATGCAATCGACTGACTACCCTATCCATGCTGACGAACAGAGTTGGTTGCAGGAAACAAATAGGATGCCTTGCTCACAGATCTCTCCCCCAACCCTTCCTTCAAAAATGACTCGGGGAGGGCGTATCGGCAAAATATGATTAGGGTGTAAGACGAATCTCATCGCCCCGTCCCCATCAATATAGAATGATCAGTTCACATGCAGATGTCATATATATAGTATTAACTATAAAACCCCTTTGTGAATTTTACAAATATTTGTCGCTATAATGGTAAAGGAAGTTAGTTAGAGTTCGTTGTCAAGATTGTGTCAACTGCTGCACCCTAGATCTGATTTTCATTTATTGGCATTCATGCCGTAGCTGGAACATTAGACAATAAAAGGCAACACCTTAAAACGAAAAGCAACCAGCAGGTACTTGGCGTTTGTTTCAGGAAGGAAACCTGTCCGAACACTTCCGGAAGGCTGAGGCTGTGACGAACCAGGACATCCCCGACCCCAACTATTCCGGATTGGCGGTCATCGACTTCGAATCCTGGAGACCACATCTACCACTGAATTTTGATAGTTTGAAAATTTACCAGACAAAGTCAGTGGAGCTGGTCAAGAAACAACATCCCACCTGGACAAACACAACACAGATCATGGAGGAGGCTACCCGACAGTTCGACATCGCCGCCAGGTAAGTGTCAGTGATCTTTGGCCCACTGGGGAAAGCTTCGCATTGGTCAAGGGGACGGCAATGTGTGGTTTAAATAGAATAATATTGCCCGTCTATATAATAACATGTTGGGATATATTTAATTCACCCAAAGACCGAGGCACAAGTAAATAATTTAATTCTTGTTCGAGTGAGTAAATTAAAATTTAATGTCACATCGTTATTATTTCAGCCACATCGTGACGTCCACTGTTTCTCTGACCTCTTTTTCGAACCCGTCAAACTGTGTACAGTAATCGGTTCCGATGGCATCCCATTCTCCGACGTAATTAAATGGCAACCACATCTAAACTGCGATAATGTCAATATGACTTCAGTTGTCAATATGAACTTCATGCAAGGATCTCTACGGCGAACAACTCCGTCCGAAAGCCTACTGGGGTTACTATGGTTACCCGCGATGCTGGGGGCCTTCAACAACCAATGAGTGTCCAATACCCGGGACATGGACTACGAATGATAAATAGTAAGTTACCATAGTAACACCTTGAAGTCCAGTGCCAGCCTATCATACTGGGCTACTTTAGCGTCGTTTTACCCATCTTTATCACTTTATCACTAACCTAGCATGCTCATCAGCTTGACATCAACACGACCAATCAAATGCATCTTCTGAATAGGGGAGGGAGGGTGTAACCTATAGTCCGTTTGGACATGGACCGACGAATGATAAACTTAAAGTAATATTACCATAGTAATCACCAGACCAACTCTGTGGTTTGTTTTGAAGATTAAAAAGTTGACAAACTATCATATCTCACAGTTCACTATTTGTTACGAGGAGGAGTCAGCCATATCCTGGACACATTAGCCTACTTATTGATTCAGCTGTGCGTGCCGTCTCCATCTTTTATCTGCACTCCTCCCTCACTAAAATAGTGAACTGTGTCAAAAGACAATGGTAGTTCGCTCATCAACTTTTTTATTCATGACATAAACGACCAATCAAATGCATCTTCTGAATGGGTGGATTAGTTTTCGAGTTAGAGAGGGAGGCGGTGTAACGGACTATAGGGGTTAGCGTTCGCTCGTCACGCCGAAGACCCGGGTACGATTCCCCACATGGGTACTATGTGTGAACCCCATTTCTGGTGTCCCCCGCCGTGTTATTGCTGGAATGCTAGTATTGCTAAAAGCGGCGTTAAACTAAACTCACTATCTCTGAATACGGTTGGTGGACTAGCTTCAACGAGATGTTCAATGAAATCAGTAGACTGTACATGAATAATTTTCAGGTGAAACATGTTCATCTGAGGAGAAAACTTGGAGGTATGTTAGGTTATGAGATAAAGTATTTGAGTATAACGTAACAAAGCGACATCGCACTATTTTAAAATTTGTTTGAGCCAGTTTTCTTCAAATGTTTTCATGTGGCTGGACGGTCAGTTTCACAGTCGCGTCATTCCAACCACTCAGTATGAAGGGGCGGTGGAGTAGCCTAGTGGTTAAAGCGTTCGCTCGTCACGCCGAAGACCCGGGTTCGATTCCCCACATGGGTACAATGTGTGAAGCCCATTTCTGGTGTCCCCCGCCGTGATATTGCTGGAATATTGCTAAAAAGCGGCGTAAAACCATACTCACTCACTCACTCAGTATGAAAAAATGTTGGCGAATGTTTCCATGGAGACAATTTATAAACATTAGCATTAGCATCTGAAGGAATATTTGATACGTACTATGATATGTATGTAATGTTTATTGGGCTTCTGTACAGTGAGAAAATGGTTTTGCCGTGTTCTTAAGAGCTGCACGTGTGTCAAGGAAATGTGAATACACTGCATCTGTTTTTAATCACCATGAGAGATATACCCACAGTACATACATACCTTTACCTTGCAGCATGGGGTGGCTGTTCTCAACCAACACAGGCCTGTTTCCCAGGATTTACACCAATCGGAACACACCAATGCACAGCCGCTACCTGTACGTCAGACAGACGGTGAACGAGACGCTCCGAGTGCAGGCGAAATGGTCGGGGCTCAACACTCCCATCATGCCGTACACTCTGAGTCAAGACAACGGAACAGACTTCTTCCAGAAAGTAAGTTAATGTCTTTTTTTTTGTAAATAATATCTGCCCCAATCTATTGAAAATACACTGTCGGGAGTTTTATCACAGTTTTCAGTGGACATGTTGAATGGGTGATATTGTACTTACACCACTTTCAATGTTTCAAATTGTATTATCAACAGTATTAAATGATTCAGACTAGATTATTTACATGTCATCGACATAGTTACCGGCTCCCTCACTCACCCAGATCCGAGAGGAAGCACACAAATAGTCCTGTCTCCTGAGGCGCTAGATTCTCAGTACAGAGTTGCGGTCTTATGTGTGCCCTATAACCGGGGGTTCGAATCCCGGTTCTCCATGGTTAGGGTTCTTGGTGTCTGTATTATGGCCGTTCCTGAGGGTTTATGGCGACCACAGGTAGGATGCACCACTTTGGACCTTTATCCTACATTGAGGTTCTTCTTTGTTTGTAACAGTAGACCGCCTCCGTGGTGCAGTAATTAGAGCGTCCGCCCGGAGAGCGGAAGGTCGCGGGTTCGATACCCGACCGCGTCATACCAAAAGACGTTAAAATATGGTACCTGTTGGTCCCTGCCTGGCGCTCGGCATTAATGGGTATATCAAGGACTGGTCGGCTTGGAGTCAGTATAATGTGTCTGAGTGGGGTATTCATGCTTCACTGCGGCATGGTATCTCAGTGAGCTAGCACTATAAAACCAGCTTAAGTCTGGGCTAGTACAAGCAGCCGCACATACACATACAAATACACACGCATGCACGTCGTCATATGAGCGAAATATTCTCAAGCACGACGTTAAACCCAATAGCACCGCACCTTGTAACAGTAATAAGTTTCAAAGCATCCAAACACAAATGTCCGCTCTCTGTTACAAGACTGTTGCAGAGTGCCATGGACAAATGTATCAGCGATTGGTGGGAGTTAACTCCATAATGATACCAATTGCTGTGTTACTGGTTCCGTGTCGATAACATTCCTCTGCGGGCTGTGGCGTTAAAAATCCCTCACTCTCTCACTCACTTGCTCACCCTCTCTGCTTCCAGGATGATCTCAAGGTCGCCATCGAGGAACCTGCCGCTATGGGGGCTTCTGGAGTGGTCATCTGGGGAAGCTCCTCGTTCTTCCACACGAGTGATGAATGTCACAAGATGCAGAACGACATCAACAAAGTCTTCGGCCCCTTCGTCAAGAACCTCACCGACTTCACACAAGCATGTGCCAACGAGCTGTGCAACAACCACGGCCGGTGTATCAGGAAGGACTTCGAGGCCACCACACAGAACTTCCTCCGTCTGTACCAGAAGGAGGCTTGTGTGAGGCCGAGGGAGGAGTATGAGGACACGAGGGACAAGAGGCGGGGGTTGTTCGGGGACAGGTACCCCAGACTGAAGAAGTATGAGTATTATGTGTGTAGATGTCTGCCCGGATGGTCAGGTGAATATTGTAACAAGTCATAGGGTGGTTGTAATTCGCCATATGGAGATGGGTACTCACAAGACTTAGAGATTTTGAGATACACTACGCCGATAATACTCTTTGATATGATGTTTATACTTTCTGAATATGTATAATCATTAATAATAGTTTGCACACCTCTACTACTCTGATATTATTTTAGTCCTTCCAAATTGGCCTGTTTAACAAAAATGTTGTCAATTTCAGTTGGGCATTGCGTTTTCACCATTTCTCGACCAATTCACTTTATTGTACATGATCGATACATATCTGTGGACGTCGCTACCTGTACTACTTACGTCAACAATCCCGTTTACTGATTTATATATTAACGCGGACACCATACACGTCCACTCGTCCGAGTTTAGAAGACAAAAATTAACTGATAATGTGTGATAGGAACAGTATTTGGTAGACTGTCTCGTCCTTGACTGTTTAAACATTTAGCGTCTATTTGCCAGTGTATTATGATTTGTTTTGTGATAAGAAATACCATTGACCCTTTATTATATTGAAACGAATGATGATGCAACGCCAGATGTAACCGTCTAGTATTATTGATCCACTGTGCGTGAGACATACATGAACGTGATGTCTACTCTTTCTGTTTTGAATCAATAGTGAATTTTTTCGCAGAACGATATTTTTGATATTGGTGTTTGTATATTCCAACTGTCTCAACATTCCAGCTTGACGTTCAGGGAGTCCGGCTCTGTGCTTGTTAACACTCTTGTATATAGCTTGTACTGGAAGGGTATAGACTGAACCATCCAACTTTATACCACAGTCCAAAGTTTTGTCATAGTTATTTATCTTACCTCACACATCAATGTCGATTTCTGTTAAGGTGAGCGCTCTTCTAATATTTTCAGTGTACCCGGTTACATTTTCTATGTTACCCGCTGGGAATGCCGAACTGTGGGAATTGATTTTATACATCGTGTTAGTAATTCTTTATCTCGATACTTGAGTCACGTGTGATGTACCGAAATTAACGATGTTTTGCGAAAGCAAACGATGGAAGGGAGATAACTCTAAATTTGATTTTCTTGTTGTCTGCTAGGTTCTTTGTCATCTGAAAATCCAGTATTGGCAAATTGCCTAACTCTGGTACTCCTTATTATGATCCGATACCCGTGCTTCAAACAGTTCAAAATTAACATTGAGGTGTTCGGTAAGATAAATACGTTGTTCACTGGTCCCTCGGTGCCCATGGGTTGATGTACCTTCTATATTTGTTGGGGCGGTGGGGTAGCCTAATGGTTAAAGCGTTGGCTCGCAACGCCGAAGACCCGGGTTCGAATCCCCACATGGGTACAAGGTGTGAAGCCCATTTCTGGTGTCCCCCGCCGTGATGTTGCTGGAATATTGCTAAAAGCGGCGTAAAACCAAACTCAGTCAGTCAGTCTATATTTGTTTATGTTCCCCTAGCCCTTCGGGCTTAGGGAACATAAGCAAACACAGAGGGTACATGGGTTCAGGGAACATAAACAAATATAGAGGGTACATCAAACCATGTTCCCTAGTGAACAATATATAATGTTACCTCATAAACATAAGTTATGTCGTACTTATAAATTACGAAATATGGCTGTGGCAGTTTAATGTCTTTTGTGACGGACATATATTACATTTACCACTTTTGTTTAAACATTGATGTGTACAGTGTTATAACACTAACCCATTTTGCTTTTACTATTTTTTCTATTGACAATGGACAAACAGCAGCTAGTTGTGAACATGATTCATGATGTTACATATTACATGTTGGAATATTAAAGTGCAGAACGTCATTGTAAGCCTTACGTTTTCTTTAAATACAACGTATTTCCCCTCGCCGTCCTCCATTAGGATTTGTCTAACACATGGAAATGAATACCAGATCATGATACATGAACACCACATGCAGCCAACACGACGGACTTCGGGACGCCTTTACTTGCAGCACACAGACTAGTGGACCAAGTTCGTACAAACTGCCATGTGGTCACGACTTCCGGTCTCAAGACAATACGGTCTCTTCCCCTCGTTGTGGTCACTTCAAGTCCTCCTCATATGACATAGGGGATAGGCTTTCACTCATTTGCCTGTCCTGAAAAAGGTAATATACATTGAGTTGGTATGATTTTACATTTTTCTTTCAGAAATACTCCAGTAATATCACGGCTGGTGACTCCAGAAATGGGCCTCATACATTGTACATTGTGGGGAATCAAATCCGGATCTTTGACGTGACGAGCGAACGCTTTACCCCCTATGCTGTATTACAGAAGAGCATTACATCATGAATGAAGATAGGGAAAATGAAAGGCCATCACAGAGAATGATCTTTAGACGTACAGTAGCAGAATTCATCCATCAGTGAGACATTGGTTTCAAGCGAATCAAGAGCAATCAACTTTTTATCACAAATAAATTACAGACTTGGAATCAACGACAATTTGATAAGTACTTCATTATATCATGGCGTGTCGGCGTGATATGGGGGTAAAGCCTATATAATAGAATTAGGAATATGACCTACTGCGGGCTTTGATTGTGGATGTACTGTAAAATACAATACCCATTGACTGTCAAGACAAAGCCTCAGCAGCTTCTACGCTTTATACGCGATCACCCTGTGTTGCTTACAGCAGGTGCTTGTGTGTGAACTCACCTCGACTAGCTTGTAACACCTGCAGGCGTTCCCCAGGCAGACGCCGATGTCGTATTGACAACGAGGGGCACAGTCGCTGTGTTTGAGGCAGAGGAGTTTGGTGACGATGCAGTTGCAGAAGCCGTTGTGGCAGATGGGGATACCGCCGATGCAACTACACTGGCTGTGGTCTGAACATGCCTTCTTCTGATTATCTGGTGGGGGGAAATAGCACCGTAACACATGGGTAGTTAACAATGTTCTTGCACAGATGATATCGTTTTAGTAGTAAGAAGCGATATCCCTTGAGAGATATTACTGCAATGTAATTTCGTCATATTGTGATACCAAGACGGTATCTATCTGACTTTTAGGTCCTACAAGCACACTCACTGGTTGTGATCGTTCAAAATATCGAAATACGATTCTACATATCCATGAAATGAAAAGATGTTAACAACCGCACATTAGCCTCAGGTAACATTACTGGCTGGTCCTTACCGTAAGGTACACAAAACTGCACTGAGGATAGAAGCACATTAGTCTCAGATGACATTACTGGCTGGTCCTTACTGTAAGGTACACAACACTGCACTGAGGATAGAAGCACATTAGTCTCAGATGACATTACTGGCTGGTCCTTACTGTAAGGTACACAACACAGCACTGAGGATAGAAGCACATTAGTCTCAGATGACATTACTGGCTGGTCCTTACCGTAAGGTACACAACACAGCACTGAGGACAGAAGCACATTAGTCTCAGGATGACATTACTGGCTGGTCCTTACTGTAAGGTACACAACACAGCACTGAGGATAGAAGCACATTAGTCTCAGATGACATTACTGGCTGGTCCTTACCGTAAGGTACACAACACAGCACTGAGGACAGGAGCACATGAGTCTCAGGTGACATTACTGGCTGGTCCTTACCGTAAGGTACACAACACTGCACTGAGGACAGGAGCACTTAAGACTGGTACTTACGGTACTGCTCGATATGACCAGGGGTGGTACTTGCTGGCTCTGATTCAGTGGTGTTGGGAACACTTGCTGGAAAAAAAGTTACAACACACGATAACCTTTAGTTTAATATTTCATCTAAAACGCAATGAATGAAGACTGTGGCACGTGTTATTACTCCAGTGGGATCTCTAACCTGTCACATAGTACCCAACCACTGAGATCTTACACATGCTACGTGGTATCCCTGCATTGAGATTTTAAACCTGTCACGTGGTACCTAACCACTGCAATCTTAAACCTGTCATTTGTTATCGCTGCATTAAGGTATTGATAAAGAGCCGACATCCATGTTGTCCTAACTGTAATGTTGTCCAAGAAATGCGCTAATAATTATATAACATTTCGATCGAATCGAAAACGACTTACCAGGCAAGGCATGAGCAGCCAGGGCAACAAGTAAAAGAGCTGAAATCTTGATGAGAAGTTGTTCCTGCATCCTTGTAACAATTGATAATCCTCAGTACCTTTTTAAATTTGGAAAAGCGGTTTTCTGTTTCGAAACTCAGAAATCAGACGCAGATTTAGGATGGTCTTGTCAAACCAAGGTCTCAAACCAGAAAGTCTCACCCCTTTAATGAAAACGGGATTGGCAGGCCTTGTATTTATAGGTTTTCTTGGCGGTATTATACAAGTGAATGTATAAATAGCCTCTTATTAGTGGAGACAGAATGATTTATTGCCTCGTTGTACACGGGGAATGACGTGTTTCCCCTCACGCTGCCCCAAACGCCACAGCCTCTGTCCCGCTACCAACACCCGTGCAGGTCATGTGATCTCCATTTTAGGAACAGCAGTGGCATACAGCCCAAAATGGTGACTTTCCGGCTGAACACTCACACGTTGGACAGGAAGACGATGGTGCCTTTTATTATATAGCATATTAATAAATAATATTAACCGGTATGTGAGAAACAAGAAAAAACAAACGTCGCTAAATGAATTGAACCCTTTGTTGACACCTTCCAGATCATTTAACGATTCACTGTTGTATTTCCACGGGGTGGTAGAGTGGTCGTGGGAAGGCCGGATTTGATTCCTCACATGAGTGCAGTAACCATATATGGTGTTCCCAGCGTCCTATTGATGGAATATTGTTATAAGCCGTGTAAATCACACTCACCACGTTGACCTGGAGGTTTGTTTCATGTCGATATGATCTGGTCCCGCTAAGATTCTAAATTGCGGTTTTGATTTCACAAATATTTTAGGGGCGGTGGGGTAGCCTAGTGGTTGAAGTGTTCGCTCGTCGCGCCGAAGACCCGGGTTCGATACCCTACATGGGTACAGTGTATGAAAAGTATTTCTGCTGTCCCCCGCAGTGATATTTCTGGAATATTACTAAAAGGGACATAAAAATAAGCTCATTCACTCTTTCCACCATCAAACTGATGCAATTAGAATACCTTACAATAGGGCATTGAACCCAACAGTCACTCACACATCACTACCTAGTATTAATGTTCAATGACTCAACAAAAGTGATAGATTCAAAGAGACTATAAAACCGTCATTTGACTGAGTTTGTGTGTGTGGCGAACAATGATCAAGGGCCATACAGCCCCTCGGATACTCTGGCCAAGAGCTCTTCAGGGACCCTCATCCCAGAATCAAGGGGCCCTTTGTTCCATCGCGGTCATTCACCTACTACAGAAGTCAATACTCCCTCTTGAAATCCCTTTTACATGGAACTCAACAGCTGGTATGGAAGTTTACATTCACAGAAAACTATTAGGTACGTGGGTACCAACACCGTATCAGTGACATTTTTACTTGAAACATTGGTGAATTAGAAACGGAATAGAGCTGTAGTGGCAGGTTAACGATAAATCTAGCCATGCTATTCCCCTGCTAGCAGACATGATCTACGGCCATGGTGCCCACGTGGCTCTTCAGGGACCCTCATCCCAGTATCAAGGGGCCTTTTGTTCCATCGCGGTCATTCACCTACTACAGAAGTCAATACTCCCTCTTGAAATCCCTTTTACATGGAACTCAACAGCTGGTATGGAAGTTTTACATTCACAGATAACTATTAGGCACGTGGGTACCAACACCGTATCAGTGACATTGAGCTGTAGTGGCAGGTTAACGATAAATCTAGCCATGCTATCCCCCTGCTCGCAGACATGATCTACACATGGTCCCCACGTGGAGAGTCGAACCCGGACTAACAATTTGAAGAGCATTGTCATTATTATGGGCGGTCAAGCTTCTGTTGACGATGTAGCATGGCAGTGTCCAGGTTACAGGGGAGAACAATGTAGAGAATGGTGTGGGGTAATGAACGTAAACACCGCCAGAAGGGCTTGTGTAACCTGCCATCTGGAATACTGATGGTGCCAATGTGGTTTTCATGCCTGTCATCAATATGTTTAAGACATCCAACGTCCGCAAACGATTCAAAACAATTCCTAAAATTATCAAATGGCATAAATTGAAGAAAAGAGTACACTCAAAACAGTATTTTTCTTATGTGGAACAAAACGCAATTTTGGCATTAGTTGTTTGAAATTATGGACCTAGTTTTCTCACATTAAGCACAATATAAGTGTTGAAGTGCTATGTCATTATGATGCCTTTGTTTTCCGAGCAAAATAAACCAGAATTAAGCCCCTTAGATTATAACAAAATTGGTGCAAATTTAAACTGGACTCCTGTCTCCTGTGACTCCACGTTTATTTTCGTGTGACCTTGCCCTTTAAACTGAAAATGTTGTTTCATGGTTTCATGTACAGTAGATGGAATCCTTGCACTAAATCAATTATGTTGATATCAACCAATTGTGAACAAAAATAAAAGCCTCTTTTCTCCCGAAAAATCTGGCCTGTGGTAACATTAAAAGGACATAAACTACCTTCCTATAATTCGTTCGCTTTAAAACTAACGCCCGGAAGAATGGCGTTTCATTGTATGTTAGCAGAGGTTTTTTTAAGATGTTGCAGGTTAATTCCTTTGTTGAGGTATCACACCCCTTTATTATGGGCACCCTTCCACCTAATCTAACCCATCACCCTCGGCTTCCCAAAACCAACCATCTCTCTCCCTCCGTACAACAGTCATTACACAACGCTGTCTGTAACGTCACCACCCCACCTCCACCCCCATCCTAAAACTCTTCACCTCATTTTACCCCACATCCCCACCCCACCCAGAAGTTCACCCTCACCTATGTGTTAAGGACGTATGTGAGATTTATAGTAGCCCGCACCCCTGCGGGGCACGTGTGGGGTACTGCCTACGGCACGGCCAGACACCGTATGGACACAGGACTCCATATGTACCAGGCATGATAAATCAAGGTGATATTTCGATCTGTATAAGTGGTGGAGTGGCGGCCGGGCGTGAATTTGATTGACACAGCAATCGGTCGGATGTTTATATGTAGAAAGGTTAAACCGATGCTCGACATCGCGACGTCGAGATCAGGTGCTGTAAATTTACCAGGAACCTTGGAAAAACACAGTGATTACAGCTAACAGTAGTACGAACTGGTAATTCTGACAGTTCTCAGTTGTCCTTGTAGGCTATTTCTCTACAGCAAAGGTGGTGTCTTCGCTTCTGTTGTACAGCAGAATTGCGCATCAGAACAAAGTGAACTTTACTTCCGGGTACAGAAAGCATATACTTGTAAACTGAAATAAACATACCCATGTACAGCAAGATAACATATATATGTGAATTGATAGTTACGTCGTGATTGTTGTGCTGTCGAATCGTAAGACGACTGCACGTTATGACAATAATGTATAGATTCATTAAAAGCCACGTCTTAGTAGTGGCGCTGACGTCGTATGTGCTTACGCCGTTGAAGACGCTGCTGAATGGTAGTAACTACCAGTACTGGAACTGGCGCTTGGACAAAATTAGGTGAGTCTTAAACTTCGATCATCTGAGTATATAAGCGTAACTAAATTCATTATTTTCATTCTATCAGTTCGTATTCTGATGGTTCATTATAAAAGTCCGATGCGAAACCAGCAGAAAATAAGTGCATCGTAACTGCTTACATCACTGTAGCAGCATAGCGCTGCATTCATGTGAGCGGGCACTTGCTCAACAAATGAATAACACATTGTGAATATATGTATTAAATGTTTACTATGTA